GCTGGCAGTCTAAAAGGAAGAGCTGGAGGCTTCGGAACGGTTGGGGGGACCGGTGGAGATTGTCAACAGCTCCACCGTCAGCATTCAGCATGCCAGAGCTGCGCTCACTGGTGGAGGTCTCTTCTCCTTCGATGACCTTGTAATTGCTGAGATGTCGAATCTGAGCATGTCCAATGTTTCCGCAGGTGCAGGTGGAGGTTTCTACGCGCAAAAAGCTTTGCGGGTCAATCATTCCACCGTCAGCATTCAGCATGCCACAGCTGCTGGTGGAGTTTTGTTCAATGCCTTGAAAACCTTGGAAGGTTCAGGTGGAGGTTTCTTAGTGGGTAAATCCGTTCAGATTGTCAATAGCTCCACCGTCAGCATTCGCATGCCAGAAAATGGTGGAGGTTTCGCAGCCCTCAGTGACGTTGTAATTGCTGAGATGTCCAAGGTGAGTCTTTCCAATGTGTCTGCAAATGAAGGCGGAGGCTTCCATGTAGACGGGCGCTTGCAGGTGATCAACAGCTCCACCCTCAGCGTTCAGAATGCCAGAGCCGGAATATCTGGTGGGGGATTTCTTGCTCAAAAAGATGTTAACATTACAGGGATGTCGAAGGTAGAGATTTCAGACAGCCAAGCGGTCTTCGGACATGGCGGAGGCTTTGTGCCTGCTAAAGGTTTGCAGTTGACGGAGGGATCGGCAATTTTCATTGAGAACGCAACAGCCGGAGGAAAAGGAGGAGCTGCATATTCAGAAGGCAACGTTGTGATCAATAGCTCAAACGTCAGCATTCAGAATGCCACGGCTGGTACGCATGGTGGCGGTTTTCATTTTGGCGGCCTGAACATGTACAATGGTTTCATGGTCATCAACAATTCCCAAGCCAAGCAGACAAGCAGTGGAGGTTTCGTGGACAACCGAGCACTTCTTACGTCTCAGTCCCAGTTGGTGGTACGTCACGCCAAAGGAAATAACTCAGCAGTGTTGACAGCAGACTGCTTGCACATCCACCCCGGGTCTGCCTTTCTCATGGACAATGTCAAGGGAGGCCATGCAGTGATGTTGCAGAACAATGACTGCTCAAGTGACGGTGAGTGCTCAAAGAGAACTCTTCAAGTGAAAAGCGGTGCAGCTTTGAACGCAACAGGTCACTTGAGTTTGGCGTTTCTGTCCGTTGCAGCCTGCCCTAATGAAACGGTGCACCTCTCTGGTATCTCATGGTCCAGTCACAGTCCATTGCTCCGCCATCAGCGCCAGCCTGTGGAGATAGACGACGTCAGCATCCACTACCAGCCACCGCTCCAGAACTTGCTCATCAATTGTGAGGTGAGGATACTATTGCGCATCACTAAAAGATTGCGTTTAAAGGCTTAAAGTGTACATTTGTTGTATAACCACTGCTCAATAAAGGCAAGTCGTGTGCTGGAAAATGCAGGAACACCCCATTGAACAAGAAGTCTTCCATAGGCAGGGTGGCCCCCCAGTAGTTGAAGCTCAAATATGACCAGTTGTTCTTCTCGGAGGGCGGCCCTCCAATTGACTATTGAACATCCACACACACAAAAAATGGGACCCTGTCGCATATCAGGGTCTTGAGATAAGAAATCTTCGGAACTTTGCCCTTCTAAACAGACCTCACCTGACCTTGCATCTCTGCAGGCTGGCTTCAAGATCAACTCTTTGGTCGCTACCTGTACAGCTTGCGCGCAGGGTGTCACATTGAACGCGACGAATCACATGCTGCAAGCCTTAAGCCCAAAAGATCGGCAGTGCCCCAGCAAAGTCACAGTGCCACTTGGTGCTGATTCTTGTATTCTATTGTATGATTCTGGCTTCCTGCGGTGCTGATATCAGTTGAAGATGTGCCTCGTGCCGGTCATGCTTTAGTTGAACTGGCAGTGTCGCATGAACGCTTCAATATCTCTTAAACCTATGTCATGCAACCCTTGAGGCTTGGTGAGTTGAACAGTTGAGCACATCCCCTGAATCGAGCATCAATAAACGGTTCCAAGCCGCGCCAGGTGTAGACAGTTTACGCTCAATATGTTCAAACACTTCTCATCATATAACCATATATCAGCATGCGTTCATGAAAATATGTCAATCCGTACTGCCGTACTACACTCTGAAAACACAATTACAGACGAAACTTCGAACACACAGACCAGGAGCTCGTACTTGGTGTTTACTATTTGTGACTCAGGTCGAGGGACAAAACCTCGCCTTGTGATTGTCCCACACACCAGATGCTTTGCCTTAGTAGTTTTTTTGGAACTTTGGAGATTCCAATGAGGCTTGCAATTCCATCATCAAATACTACGATGGTAAAGCTCTATCGTTAATTGTAAATTCTGAAGATGAAGTTGGCATTGCTGCTTACCGGTCCAAGGATCATAAAAGCGAACTTCCGTGGAAACGAGTCTGTGGCTTTGAAAGACCTTTTTTGCAACCTGTCAGTCCTGTGACTCACCTGCAAGTGGCCAAATGTGTTGTGATGCCTACATGTCTACATGATGCAGTTGAGACTTGAGACTATTGAGGTTTCATGTTCATGAGGCCTGTTTCGTCACAGCTGCTGAGGTCACAACCACTCATACTATGACAATGGCACTTGTCGCAAGTGCGGAGTCCTTTGGGCTTGGTCTGATGGGAAGTCTGACAAGTGCCATTGGTTGCCGCGCGAGAATTGGCAGCTAGCATGCTTGTTGATGGGTGGGGCCATCATAGTGTTTCTGGCCTTTGTCCTCTTTGAGATCTTGATATCTCCACTGGTAGTTGTGGATGCAACCTCAGACCCTTTGGAGATAGCCAGCGAGAAGGTGTTTACCATCACCGCGCAAGGTCCCATTGTGGGTCTTCCCACATACCTTTCTCGCATTGTGCACTGGCTAGTTTCATATCGCGTAGAAGGCACAAGTTTGCAGTGGTTGGACTTTGACAAGAAATCCAAGAACACAGTCAAGGTTCGCAGCATTGGGAATGGAAAACTTCAGCTCCAGGATGTGTATGTGCCCTTTGATTGTGCTGCATGCAAGGGTGTCATGCATGCCACCAAGACTTTCCCATTGTTTGCCGTGCTCGCCGTATTTATATCAGTGGTTGTGTTGGTGCCTGTCACCTGGGTGGTTGCAGCGATGTCCGAGAATGGCTTTGGACATGTCCTTGCCGCTTTTGTTTGCATGACATGCTTTGAACATCTTTGAACATTTTAGCGACCGCTTAATTGAAACGTGTTGGTTTTGCAATGTTAAATCCAGCTGCTGGCTGATTTGCGATCGGATGAACTTTGTTGAGGTTACTGCCTTCTATTGTTTCCTTCCAACGGCGGTTGCAGCCGCGGTGCTTCACTTGCCGGTGGCGTGTCTTGTTGGCTGGTTCTATCGCAGAACACCATTCTCGGCGGCTTTGAACGAATACCACAAGCATATCCAATGCAAACCACATTTGGGCCGGGATGCCACTCATCCTCGCAATCAGGGCTTGATGGCCCTTACCTTGCAGGATTTGGGGAAACACTTCGAACGTTTCTCAATCTGTATGAGCGCTGTGCCTTTTGTTTGCAGGCTTACGGCTTATGTGTTTATTTGTTCATCAGACGTAATTGCCCTGTGACATTCCTTTACACGCTCAAGACACTGGAGACAATCCAAGTGAGGTTTCATCCTTGAGCGGAACATGCACTTCGTCGTCGCCAATATCGTAAGGCCTTTGACGTGCAACAAACGGGAATCCTTTGTGACGCTGTGGGGTGGCCAGCAAGTGGACTACTTTGTGTCCCTTGGCCATGTCAGTGGCAGCGGTTATAACAAGACGTGCTTCTTTTCTTTTTTTCGGATGTTCGCGTGTTGCGTTTTAGTTGGTTGTACACTCCCTGAAATAGTTAATTATATACAACTATTGTATATGTGTTGTGCACTCCCCAAAGTAATCTTGGAAGTGGAGTTCATCACCTCTTTGGTCTTCGGAAGTCAGGGAATTCAGGGCCAATGCCATCCATGTAAAATGGTTGTATGCTCCAGCGTTCGGGTGTACACCCCCTCTTCCGGGAGGAAGAGCAACCACAACAACAACAGCAGCAACAACAACAACGCCATTCACGTAACCATGATGGAATCCACAGATTTGTGAGTTGTAGTGTTCCAGGAATGGTCATCCTAGGGGCCATGCCATTCACTGAACCATGATGATTTCACAGATTTGTGCGTTGTAGTGAAGATTTTCCCTTCGTATCCTACGCAGAAATTGTTGGAAGGTCGCACTCCTGGGGGACGAGCTTCTCGCACTTTGTGCGCTCCATCCGGAGTCATGCCATGTCCAAGGGAGGACAGACATGGACTGATGCCACCTATTGGATTTGCTCCTTCGCCACTGGGAATGCCTGAAACTGCTAGCCTTCAGAACTTCATTGTTTGTTAAGCAAGTATGTAACTTTATTTGATCAACACAAGATGTAGCTCTACAAGATCACCGAAGATTTATTAGCACGCTGTGTGACTTTTTTTGCCCTTGATTTGTTTGGAGTCTTCTCATTTTCCTGGGCAGATGGGCTTTCGTTTTTTGTGCAACTGGCAGAGTTGTGAACCAACAACAACCATAAACTATTGATCAAGGAAATATGCGGAGAGTGCTTAAGTGGACTGGAGAGATCGAAAAGCGCCATACACCACACTTTTTTGAGTTCTGTCGTTGTGTGCCTGTGCAGCCTGTTTTTTTTTTGACTTCCATGTGATTGATAGGTTCTTCCATCCTTCGTTCCAGCATCCACCGTTCATCTATTCTTCCTGCCTTCCTTCCTTCCTTCCTTCCTTCTGACAAAAATATTAATATACTCGCCAACAGCATAGTGATCTCGTGACATGGCAGGAAGCCCGGACATGACGTAGACTGTGCCCAGGTGACTGTGGAGCGCAATATAAGCCTGTGAGAAAGGTTCGGGATGGTGTTTGCACTGACGCAGTTGTGTGCACTAAGCGACCCCCTGACCCATCTGGTTTAATTACTTGTATTTAAGCTGATGTATGGCTTGCTTTGGTCCACTTTGGATGGAAGCTTAGGCCAACAACCAATGGGACATTGAAGCTGAACTCGGAACTGATCCAATGGATAGCGCCTTCGCGCGTGCTTTGACCGGCGGGATCAAGGGAGTGGTCATGGTGTTGGATCAGCAAGTGCAGCCTCTCACCAGAGCCATGACTGCAACATGTCCAGCTTGAAGCATGTTCCATGAATGTCCACAGAACATCTCGCAGAACGTTGGGGCCCATGTCAAGATATTTGTTTATATACATATCTATAGTAATACATATATAATGTGCTTTATCTTTCGTGAGCTGACTTGATTTGTTCTTCATGTGCATAAGTCGGCACAAGGGATTGTTTTTGGGAAACTCACAAAATAAGCGCACTTCCTCACTCTTTGCAACACAGCCAAGTCACCAGGAGTGTGGTGCTTGTTCGAATTCTTCTTCTCCAGCCGCGAAAATCTCGAGTTGGATTTTGGAACGGATGCGGGTGTAATTGGAGATGCTACTTGGGCTTTGAAGTGTGCATGTTTGTCCTCTTGTTGCAACTCCAAAGAAAGCCGAGTACATTTGAGATGTAGAGAACATGTTCAAGCAAAAGAGAGCAGAATTCAAGAGCCCGTGTTGTATGTTCTGTAAGTCGATTCAGACAATCCTACATTTGCATTCTTTTGTGGCCGATCCTCTTCATTTGCGTCAGGATGGATGCACATCCTTTGACATCGCACTGGAAGTGGGCAGAAAGATCAAGTCTTTGCAAGTCGTGAACTGCGAAACATCCTCTGAAAAGGACAAGAAGCTCGTTTGGAATAAGCACAGACTTGACCATTTTCTTGATCCTCCAATTCCTCCACCGATGCCCTTTTAAAAAAAGAGCAACAGTTCAGTTTGTCCACAGTACTCCTCTTTGTTAAACTCCAAACGGCGTTCTTCTCATGTTTGGATTATTTTCTGATCGCCCCGACAGCTTATGCTCATGGCTATGGCATGGCCATGTCAGGCAGGATATCTTCGACTACATTGTCTCGGAGCTTGGTAGTTTGGAACGGATGGATGAGCAAATCCGTTCATTGATGGGCAATATGTTGAAGAAGAATCTCTCAAATGTAGGACATGCGACAGAGACTCTCTTGCTCGAACTGGGTCAAATCTAATTAATGTCAATTGATGCACGCGAAGTAGCGTCGGCACTTTGGGTGAATGATGCTGAATTTATGTTGAGTGGATAGCTTTTCTGGGCAGAGCACAAGAGTTGCAACCCTTTGTGGGAAGCCCTGTTTCAAAGGTTCCAGATGCATCATGTTTCAATGCAATGTTGAGTCCGTGCACGCAGAAGGTCGTGGCTTTAATTCGGCATCATTTGCAGCTTCCTCAACTATAGAAGCGGTTTGACAACTCGGTCAGCAAGCAAGTTCTACATACAAGCTTCATCAAGCTTCAGACCAAACAACAAGTGGTGCCTATGTGGCTGTGGATATCTGTGGATGGCTGTAGGTCGGTAAAATCCTGAAGCCCTTTTTGACCGGTATTCTATTCTGTGCGTCCACCGAGTGATGGGAAAAAACCTCCACAGCCCAGCATTGCTTGTGGGTTCGCAGGTGAATCCCAGTTTTGACACATGTCCCGAGCCACCTGTGCCAACGGGTTGAGTGGTTGAGCAATCTGCTTAAATTCGATTGAGTCAGGAAGATCAAGCTATAGCAATGAGAAATCAAAAGGCGTTGACGAACTGCCAGCATGTGGCAGGGTTTCAGGCTATTGATTTTGGTCATTTCGCCCAATTCGCCAGAAACATCAGACGCTGGACATGCTGAGGTCCAGTTGTGAGCTTCAGGCGAAGCATTGAGCTGGCAGGAAGTTGATGTCTAGAGGCAACTTCATCTTTGAAGACACGGACGCGAGGTTAAGTGCTGGTACTGAAGCATAGTAGGCATGCTTGGGAAGAGGCGTGTTTATTACCAGGGAGCTTCTTCGCAGCTCATGAGCTGGGTGAAGACTCGAGTGGTGACGACCTAAGGATGGACCGATCGTATGCCTTTTTCGAGCGCAAGAGTCGAATAGTCGAAAACCCTTTTTTGAGAAGCCTCATTGCATGACATCTCATGACTAAAGCTTCCAGATACCAAGTTTGACTCTCAATGCATTGTGGCTCTAATTCACGTTTGTCGTTTGCAGCTTCCTGACTCACATGAACAACTAGCAAACCACTGTGGTTTGCAAGTCATTTCTGCATTAACGTAGTTTCAAACAAAACTGCTTTTATGGGCTTCTCACCCATCCGACAGTGCCACCTGTGCCAATGGGTGGAGTAGTTAACCGGTTTTGCATGACGAGCAGAGATATTATATGATATTTCGATGAGACATGTGCAGATTTGTTGCATATGATTCTTCACCAGCAAGCTCCAGTACTCGTACCCCGTCTATTTATTTGGCCGGAGCTTCAACGTATATCTATAAGATTCTATAAACATGTCAGTTGACTTGATTGCTGTGTTTGTATGTCCAAAGCATCGAA